CTTTTTCGTTTCGTTTTAATTTTTAAAAATTTAAAATTTTAAAAATTTTAAACATCGGTTTTACCAACGGCCAACGGCCAGAAATGTAGGAAATTACTATCCGAACTGAAGCGCGCCGAGTTCTTCATTTCTTTTTTTTTTTTTTTCTCGTCCATTATGAAGATCAACGGCCGAAAATGAACCAATCCGGATTTTTCATTTAAAATTAAAAAAACAAAAACATTAAGAAAAAAGTGGATATTTCACTTTTAATCGTCGATTCCGATGATCGACTGCGGCCCACGTGGAGTTTGTCGAAAGATGTGAGGGCCCCGGCCTCAGACAATCTTGTCTTGATTATTTATAAAGCATTCATTTTCGTAAAAAAAAAAAAAAAAAAAAAAAAAAATGCGCAACACAAAGCACACAAGTCCGCATAGTAGACGCGGTGTTTGTTTATTTTTCCCCCAAAAAAATTCGGACCATTTCTCAATTTTTACGTGTCATAAAAAATAAATAAATTACGTGCCATCTATTCAGTCAATATTATTGTATATATAAATGATAATCTTCTTTATTTATTACGTAATCTTCAGGGGCCATGCTAATCTTCTTTCTGTGCATCGTTCCAAATTTCACGGATGTCCCTAAGGAGTGTAGACGCGTAGCAGCAAGTGCCAATCAACAGTCGATAATTCACAAACGCGTCCCCAAACCTCTCTCTCCCATTCTCTCTCTCTCTCTCTCTCTCTCTCTCTCTCTCTCTCTCCCTCTCTCTCTCTCTCTCTCTCTCTCTCTCTATCTATCTCTCGCTCTCGCTCCCGCTCCCGCTCCTTCCCTCACTCAACCCGAGACTATGGGCCTCGCTCCACTATTGTGTACATGCACAAAAGACAAAAGAATATGGCCGTGTATCTTTCCATGTTCTAGCGGAAGATTCATTCTCATTTTGCATACTCGGAGAGCAGTGAAGCGAGGTCCTATAACCGAACGAACCACATCACCCACTTCCGCGCACACCTCATCCGGCATCTCCGTATTTTTTTATTTTTTTGGGGGGAAAACATCTCTGGATTTTTTTATTTTTTATTTTTTTTGAGAAAACACGTCTCCGGAATTTTATTTTATTTCTGGGAAAACATCTCTGGAATTTATTTATTTTTATTTTTACCGAATTTTACGAAAACATCTCCGTAAATGATGACGGTGTAAATTTTTTATTTTATTTCTTCTCCTGAACACAACGCGGCCTGATAAGGAATTTATCCAAGCGATCTTTCCGGTTCGGTGCAGGCAAAATGAGGGTGCGTTGTCTTCGTGGACGAGGGAGGGAGGGAGGGAGGGAGGGAGGGAGGGAGTGTTGGTCTTCTGCTGTTGTATCTTCGAGACGGCACACATCAATGCGCACGGGGTAAAGTGAATAATGTGAACGGGGGCTAGGTCCCACTTGCACGAATGAAGAGATACTGACCGTAGATATCAAAAGATCAACGGTCAGAATCTCCTAATTTGCGCAAGTAGGACCACCACCACCATTGATCTGAGCCCTGTCGCATTGATCTGAGCCCTGTCGAAAATACAACACCCATTGATCTGTGCCCTGTCGAAAATACAACACCCATTGATCTGTGCCCTCTACAAATTTGAGCCCTTGATCTGTCCATAAAAAAAAAAAAAAAAAAAAAA